ACAAGTTAAGGTATATTTGTCGGAACACCGATTGAAACTCTTTAACACGTATTTTTTTCCAAAAACTAATTGAGCTCTTTTGAAAGGTGCTAAGATTTCGAACAATGTCTATAAATAAGTCGGCTTATAACGACCTTGGCATTGAGACATAAAAATTTAGCAAGAATCGTTTTCACCAAATTTTTAAATACCTTTAAGGAAGTGCCAAGGTCTCTAGGACTTCATAGCTAATGATAATTTCCAACAAATTTTGAAAAACAGAAACCTGGGTATATATTGCTAAATCTCTGAAATCTGACTATATACGACAATAAAATCAGCATCAATGTAAAAAAAATCCGAAGTTCGCTTTAATGTATATATAAATTCACAGAGTGACTTCTCGCTCTCACTCTAAAATGAAAATATTGACATTTTTCACACAAAAGTTATAGACCTCTTACCTACTAAATATTATCTGATGGCAAGCCAAAAATAATAGGTTTTTGCCTGTCTGTCTCAAACTCTAACGGTACCCAAAATTGTGCGTCTCTTTGACTTGACTCTTTTTAAAACAATAGGCTATTTTGACCCGAATCCCATGCAAAATTTCCTACGGATTGATCCTTACCTATAGCCTGTAGAGTGATTTCAAATTAACATGGACAGATGAACAGACAGACACCCATAGCTATATCGACTCAGTTCGCCGAGTCAACTACATGGTGGGTCTAGGACCAATATTTCGAGGGATTACAAGAGCGTGCTTTTCACCAAAGTCGCCATATCCAAAAGCTGAAAAACCAAGCCTTTCGCCAGGTTGAATTAATTATATTGGTAGCGATATTGCAAAGCTGTCAGCTACGTTTTGAAAAACATTGCTCTCTTTAGTAGACCAATATGAAGTTAAACCAACGAGGAATATTTCGGACTTAAGCAATCAATAAAAAACGATATTTTCGTTAGACAAATCTTTTACAAAATAATATTTTTAATTGAAATTGCGATTTAGAAAGAAGCCAATAATACACAAAGTACATGTTTCCAGTTTAGTCTGCGTCAACACTACTCGTCTGGACCTCATCAAAACAAGCTAATTTATTTTTATTTAATGATGTAATTATTATTTTTTCAAGATCTATAGAAACCGGTTTCAAGCTTCGAAAAAGTACATCATTTTTGAATTTTTTTTATTTATATTTGATTTTAATTATATATATTCAAATGGTGAAATTATATGCCATTGGTATGCATATAACGCCGAAATAATTAGAAGAACGACAAAAATTTCGACAGGGTCTAAAGGGGATTAACACAAATCACAACAAGGAACTAGAGCTGGATCTATTCAAGTGTTCGATAGAAATATTTCCTTATCTAATATATGATGACAGTGTGTTATTTGCCACGGTACGTTGCAACTGCTCGTTTATATAGAGTAGATGATGTATATTTTACCCCAAAATGTTTTCAATTTAAAATCACAAATAATCAATAACAAAGTTTGCTGCTTGTCTTACACGACGGGGCATGGAAGCAAAGAACCTCAATCTTCTTGTTGACCACCATCACCACCACATTCATCCACAAATCCACTTCACATGCAAGGATGACAAAAACTCAAGTACATTTTTACTGCAGTATAAATGCAAGACAAAGAGAGACATTGTAATACACAATAAACTTTCCTTCTTGTAACCAACCATGACGAAACTATTTTTTGAAGTGCTTGTTTGAAAATTTAATGTTGAGAATTTAAGATTTTAAATTGTGGGTAATTTTTTGTTTTAGAGCCATAAAAACAGTTTTGTAGACCCAAATTAAATTAAACTTAAAACTCCAAAAACTTTTCCAAAATTTTGTCATACGTATTAATATTTTTCAGTGAAAATAGTTTTAGTAGAACCGTGTCAAACAAGGAATTTGAATTGAAAAATTTCGAACGTGGCTTAAAAAAGATTACTTGGGAACAACTCTAGTTTAGTACTTGATTGACTTGATTGAATTTATTTCTTCTTAAGGTCGAGGTTTTACCCTGATTTCGGCAATGCAGGGAAAATTGGTTATCGTAGTAACAATTTGTACATTCTTGCAGTTCTGGAACAGACCAATTATGTATTTATCTAGACCAAAATAACCGATTTTTGAACACCAATTATTAATTGAACTCTAAAAAGTCAAGAAAATATAAAATATAAACCAAATTATATCTGACGTCTAAACATTCCAAAATGCTTTAAAATATTATTCCGATCAAGGACTATCCCAAGATCCTAGGGGTCACATTCGACATCATGTTCTAGCCGTTCGTGCAAGTCACACCAATCAGCGAAAAATGAAAGGTAGGAGCAAGATCCTTAAGACGCTTGTTGACCTCTTACAGCGCGGTAGTCAGTCTGTGGTCAGCTATGAGGCCCAATGTGGTCTGCGAATTTAGGTTCTACGCAGTGGAACAAAATTAAGACCTGTCAGAATGTTCCGCAGTGAACTGCGAAAGGGTTCCTCCTCATGGCACCAGTGGACCATCTACATGAGGAGGCGAAGGTCCTTCCAGTACGTCAGCATAACCATATACTTTCGTTACAGTATCTGGTTGGGTGTTATCATGGGAGTCATCCCCCACCCATGCGTGTCAGGAATGACATACATGATCAAGAGTGGGAGGTCCAACGCTACTAGATAGACCCTCTAGACCAAGAAGCCTATCAAGCAGGTCTGAGTGGCATTCACATACTGAAGTACAAATGCCATACAAAATCACAGCATGAATTCCGCTCAAGGAGTCAACTCCCATCAATTGCAGCTGAAGAACGTCGGAAGCTTAGACAAACCAGATTAGTCCTGATGTAATTAATTATAATTATATACCAAATTTCAAGCAAATAGGGTGAAAAGTGTGACACACATAAAACAAGTAAGGAAAAGTCAAAAGTCGAGCAGAGCCGACTATATGATAACCTACACCACTAATAATCTATTTGAATCAAATTTTGGTTTTAGAGCAGTTATAGTTTGGTTTCAGAAGGAACTAATATATGGGAGGCCTATCCAATTTTGAATCGATTTTCTCCAAATTTGACGGAGATATTTTAATCTTTTCTACCAAATAACATTGCTATAGAGTGCATGATTTCACTTCGAAAAGGATTATATTAAAAATAAATATCGGAGCCAAGATCCACAAAGTCCTTGATTAAATTCTGTCGGATGTGCTAAAATTCAGGTCATTTGGACTGATATTGACCATTTAGTGCACAATTAACCTGAAATCGATAGATTTCATATCCAAATCTGAACCGATTTTGATAAAATTTGGCAAAGGTATTTCCGACCTCTATATGATATCTGGTACCAAATATCATGTTTGTGGTTGCATATTGTGCACATGAAAGACTTTAACACCGAATAGAAAGAAACAGATATATGGGAGCTATATCTGAACCGATTTTCACCAAATTTGATGTTTTCACTTCTAGACTGAATTCGGTTGGATATGCCAAAATTCAGGACTTTTGGTCTGATATTGGTCATTTGGTGCACAATTAACCCGAAATCGGTTGAAGATATATTGGATCTATATACAAATCTGATCCGATTATCAACAATTTCAATAGGGGTCTTCCTTGGGCCAAACAAATATTGCATGGAAAATGTCATCTCAAATCGGCCAACAACTGCGACCTGCATTTTGTTCACAAGAATACATGGACGGAAAGAAAATAATGCATAAATCGTCTCAGAAAGTGATGATCACCAAAAGTAACTATGGATCTATATCGCGTCCTCCTTTAAGGTACAATCGAATGCACAAAGACATAATAAATAATTTAAATCTGCCACAGAAAAATGTTTACGTTAGGTATTCATAGCTGTGAACAACCACTTCTTTAAATCGATGTTAGAGAATGGTCAATCTTAATATGTACATAAGGAAAATGGCTATAAAATCTTCCAATTGTCCCGTCCAATAAAAGTTGTGAAATTATTTTGTTTACAAAACCACTATCGATAACTCCTCGAGCCTACACATCCAATCAGCTGGCGGCCAGTCCATTCTTATAAGTAAGATTGTCAAAATGTGCGCCAAGATGTCATAATAACAAATAATTTACACAAGTCCAAGTGGGAAAAAACACACGCACACAAAACAAAATAAAAACGTGAGTTTTTCTCGCGCGCAAAACATGTTTCAATGCATCGTCATCGTCTCCGTCGATTCAACAAAAACAACAAAACTGAAGTCTATGAAGAGCATACATCAACAAGAAAAAAAGTATAGATGGGGGGCACAACGAAAACGAGGAGTCCTCTTTAACAAACCGCCAAAAAATATTACCTCGATAGGTACACACAAACGTACCAATCTCATGTACATATATATCTGCAGCAGTTAAAGCAGTACTCAGTCACGAACCATAAACGACGATGACGATGGACGACACAACAATTTTGCGCGACGGCATGAGAAAATCAACTAACAACACACGCACACACACTCTCTCACACACAAAAGAGGCCATTAAAAAAAGATACACAAAACCACATTTGAAAAAGTTACAGAACTTTAATAATGCCCTGCTGCTATTTCTTCAATATCTTCCGATTCAAAGTTTCACTAGGAATTCATTTAATAAACATACGATATGATTGTTTGCAATATTCAACCAAGGATTCATATTTTTCGACCATATCACCGCCGATTTTTTTCTTAATTGCGCACTATTGTGAAAAGGAATATAGTAATCATCATCCACATTCGTTGTGTTCCAGTATTTTCTGCAGTGGAGAAGAGTCGCCATTTTGATTTTTTCACAGACTGTAAAGAAATGGTAGCAACACACAATAGTCTGAGCCAAAAAAAAAACAGATTTCACACGATCCCCACCACCCTTGGAGAAAGAAAAATTTACAAGTCTCTATCATAGAAACCATTTCTAAGATTTTCACACAATTTTCCATTTTGCTGACTTTTTCTTATTCGAATAACCTTTGCGCTTTTCACTTTTTTCAAATTTACTTACCTTTAATTAGTTTTTTTTCCTGTTGAAGTTTGTTGTGTTTTCTGTTGAAAAGATTTTTACCTTTTTCGCTCACTAGCACTCGTCAAGATGCGCGTCCGTTCACAACAGCGACTGATTTTCTAATGAACCGAATCACCAATGAGTTTCAAAGAGAAGTGAGTGCGATGAATAGATTGTTGGGAAATTGTTGTGTGAGTGTTGCCATATGTTTGTCGATAGTTTGCAAATAAAAACATAAGAGTTATTATATTTTCCGGTTTGTTTTGATATGGAAATTAAATTAGATAATTCCTAAATTGGTCATGCATTCATTTGTGCAATATGTTGTTGTTATTCTTATGATTAATTGCACAATTTTCAGTTTGTTTTGTTTTTGCCATTGTCATATGGCATCTCCAATTAGAAAGAGATGACTCTCTATTGAAAATAATGTTTTTTTCTCATGCCATTCATTTTGATTGGAATACTAACACAGAGTTGTATTTTCCATTCCATTTGAAGGGGCATTCATTTTGTTAGTTGGCTACCTTAGTAAATGGCGTGATTGTCAAACATGTCGTCCAACAAAACATGGTGTTCAATGTAAGGTTTACATGGTTTAAATTGTCATAACCTCTTTGATTTAAGTCAACAAGTTATAATTGTTTAAATACTAATCTGGCAGCTAAAAATTGACAAAAGGGCATAATATGTTTGCTTTTATTTTCTTTATTATTAATACATTTTATGTACTCTTTACTACTTTATATACTCTACACTAAATAGTGGTAAGGCTATTATGTCTTTGTGCATTTGTTTCATGGTAGAAGAATACAGTTGGTCGCATCGACACAGCTGCTGGGAGAATGAAATGTCAAACTTATTTTGGAATTGAAAATCTTGAATGAAAAATCCTTGACATTTGTAAAAATTGTTGTAAAATACATAACATTACAACCTCAGATTTGCGTCGTATAAGAAAACATATAAAAATCTACTTATTTTTGACAAAACATTTTAAAATTTTTGACATATCAATGTTCCCAAGCGCTGATGCATCTACCTATATTCTTCTACCATGATTTGTTTGTATCATGCGAAGAAGCGAGATAGAAAAATAGTTATCTTTGAGGATCTTCATAGACTTACTTTCTGAGTCGATTTATGTATGTCAGTCAGTCCATGTCCATGAATTTTTGTGAACAAAATGCAGGTCGCATTTATTATCCGATTGAGATGAAATCTTCCAAACAATATTTTTTGGCCCAAGGACGAACTCTATTGAAATTGGTGAGAATCAGTTCAAATTTAGATATAGCTCCCACTTATATCTTTAACCGATTTCAGATTAATTGTGAACCAAGTGGCTCATATCAGCGCAAATGGATTGAATTTTGGCAATTCGGACTGAATTCGTCGTAGAAACCAGTACTTCAAATTTAGTGGAAATCGGTTCAGATATACTTTTAGCTCCCATATATATGCTTCATCAGATTTTGGGGTTTAAGACTCTCACATTCGTAATATGCACCCCAGAAAATGATATTTAGTATCAGATACAGCCCAGAAACACCACATCTAATTTGTGTCAAGACCGGTTCAGATTTGGATATGGCTCCCATATATAACTTCAACCGATTTCGAGATAATTGTGCACCAAATGGCCAATTTCAGTCCAAATTACCTGAAATTTGGCACATCCGACCAAATTCAATGTAGAAGCAAGTACATCAAATTTGGTGAAAATCGGTGCGGATATAGCTTTAGCTCCCATATATATGTTTCATCCGATTTGGGGTTATAAGTCCCCCACATGCGTAATTTGTACCCCACAAGAATGATATTTGGTACCTGATATCAGATACAGCCCAGAAATACCTCTGCCAAGTTGTATCAAGATCGGTTCAGATTTGGATATGGCTCGCATATATCTTCAATTGATTTCGGATTAATTGGGCTCCAAATCGCCAATATCAGTCCAAATTACCTGAAATATGGCACATCCGACCGAATTCAATGTAGAAGCAAGTACATAAAATTTGGTGAAAATCGGTTCGGATAAAGCTTTAGCTCCCAAATATATGTTTCATCCGATTTGGGGTTTTAAGTCCACCGACACATCTTCATCGGAATTTTTTCATATTTCGTATTTGAAGTTCGTAATGAATGCCTCATCCTGTAACAGAAAACTGGCTATGCAGGTAAAGGTCTTCGTATAGCCCCCATAGAACGTTACCTCCCAATATTCGGTATTTTGGTGATTTAAGCGACATTGTTCGCCGGAATTATTTCAAATTTGGTATTTGAAGTTCGTAATGGATACTACAGCCGAAGACAGAAAAATGTCAGGTGCAGGTCCATGCCTTTCTATAACGCCCATACAATGGACCACTCCCCCCCACTTTTCCTTACTGGTTATAATAATTTACAACACATGTAATTTTACATATTTTCCAACAAAAATTAAACAACATTTTTATATTTTTTTCCTATTAAAAAAAGGGATCGCTGTGATCGAAAAAGGACATTTGTATTTTACTCATATATTTCACAACTGAAATGTCGTCCATGTATCACACGATGTGTGCAACTTCTACATATGAAAAATTTGACACAACATATGTAAAACCCTTATCATCTGATAGCAGCTTAAAAGAAAGGACAAAATGATCTCCCCCCATCCACACCCAAAATGAATACTTTGTGTTTCAATGCAACTCTATAATTTCTTTATTTATTTAAATTCTTTTTTCAAAATTTACAAAAGAAAATCTACTTCAATTTGGAACACTCTTTAACGAAACCGGGAAAATCTGCAATGGAATCTCTGTACTGGCCAAAAGTGTTGTGGACACACACCCCAGCATCTTGCGGTACTTTTTTGATCAATTTAACGGTAGTTTTAATTTGACTATTCAAGCTAATGATTTTGCTACGCAACTTTTTGGCACAACTTGCCGAAGCCTTAGCTTTGGGATCAACATTATCGGCCATGTAATTGGGATTGCCACAATCCTCATCGTTAATGTGAATTATTTCGGCGCTAATGGCCAGAACCTTGTAGGCCGAATCAACGACTGCCTGAACTTGTTTCACTGTTCCAGCCTCACAACGTTGGAAATTGTGTAGCATTTCTTCGGTATTGTGTCTGACATTGACGACACCCTTAATACTGCAATTGATTCCGCGCAAAGTTTTCATCCCGGATTTTACTAGCCACCAGAATGGACTGAAAATGGTACGGGGTTCAATGGACAGTTGTTCGTTGGGTCCGTGAACGTTTACAGCGGGTTCGTTTTTCTTGGGTTCTTCGAGTGGTTGTGCAGGGTGATTCCCTTTCTCAGGTTCTTCATGGTGCTCTGGATTGCGGCTATCTTCCTTAGATTCTTCGTGGTTTTCTGGAAGGTGATTATTTTCCTTGGGTTCCTCGTGGTGTTCTGGTTGTTCCTTATCTTCTTTGGGTTCTTCGTTATGTTCTGGATGAGGTTTATTTTCCTCGGGGTTTTCATGGTGTTCTGGATGTTCCTTATCTTGATTAGGGTTTTCGTGATTCTCTGGATGAGGTTTATTTTTCTCTGGTTCTTCGTTCTGTTCTGGTTTATCATCCTTATGTTCTTCATGATGCTCTGGATGATTATTGTCAGGATTTTCATGCTTGTCATTGGGATGTCCGGGAAGATCGTTATCTTCCTTAGGTCCTTCATGTTCGTTGGGATGTTCAGGCACTTGATTGCCTTCTTCGGATTCATGGTGATTGGGTAAGCCTTCATGCGGATAACCTGGCTGTGGATGAGGTTTGCCGGAGTGCAATGCATCGAGCTTTTTGAAAGAGAAGTGCTTAAATATTAGAATTGGTTTGTGTGAAAACAAAGAAGTGTACTTGGAAAGAGAGGAAAAACAGAGAGGGAGAGAGGAGGCAAGAGAGATTTATCACGAACATTTTTTCAAGACAATCGCACATTTTTAAAGAATACTTTCTCAAGGGCACTTGGAGCCATAATCGTGGATTTTTTAAAGAATATTTTCACAAGGACAGTCGGGGCTACTAAAGTGGAAATTCTAAGAATATTTTCTCAAGGACAGTCGGAGCTACTAAAGTGGAAATTCTAAGAACATTTTCTCAAGGACCGTCGGAGCTATAAAAGTGGATTTTTTAATAATAATCGTGGATTTTTAAAGAATATTTTTTCAAGGAAAGTCGGAGCCATAATCGTGGATTTTTAAAGAATACTTTCTCAAGGAAAGTCGAAGCTATATTCGTGGATTTTTTAAGGACATTTTCTCAAGGACAGTCAGAGCTAATTACATGGAGTATTAAAGATTATTTCCTTACGGAAAGTCGGAGCCATAATCCTGGATTTTTAAGGAAAACATTTTCAAGGATAGTCGGAACTAAAAAAGTTGTTTTTAAAAAATATTTTCCCAACAACAGTCGGAGTTAAAATCGTGGATTTAAAAAAAAAAAAATCTTCTCAAGGACAGCCGGAGCTATAATCTTGGATTTTTTAAAAATATTCTCTCAAAGACAATCGGAGCTGTTAAAGTGAAAATTTAAAGAATATTTTCTCAAGAACCGTTGGAGCTGTAAAAGTGGATTTTTAAAGAACATTTTCTTAAGAACTGCCCGGGCTATGATAGCGAACTTTTAGAGATTATTTCTCAAGGATAGTCGAAGCTATAATCGTGGATTTTTAAGGACATTTTCTCAAGGGCAGTCGGAGCCATGATCGTGGATTTTAAAAAATAGTTTCAAGGGCAGTCGGAGTCATAATCGTGGATTTTTAAAGAATATTTTCTCAAGGAAAGTCGGAGCCATGATTGTGGATTTTTAAGGAAAAAATTTTCAAGGACAGTCCACGACATTCGGTGCTGCAATGTTTATGGAATATGTTGGGGCCCTTCCTCAACTTTACTAAGGCTAACTACCACTGATACACAATCCCTGGTCGACCCTTCTGCTCTCAACGAATTCCCTTTGCAACGATTTCAATTTGCCGTCTCTGGTTGGTTGTTAATAATATTTGCCGCTGAAACTTCTTACCCGAACTCGTCATTTCTCTAATGAACAGGCAATCGATATTTTCCCAATTCTTAGTGATATTTGTTCCAAACTATAAATGACACAGCTTTCCGCACGTTTTCTTCTAACTTATATAATGTATTTATAAATGTTCCAATGAACATTTCACCTGGGTTGCGAAAATAGAATGAAAAATTCTTGTGAGCAATCAGTGCCTTTTTCTCGCATTGATGCTTCTTCTCATTAGAATACTGGTTTTTGTTTTCTGAGCAAAGACAAATTAAATTCCATTTACAACTCTCTATCTCACCGTTGTGTGATTGTTGATATTTTTGCTCCATTCATTTTTATGCTAGTGACTACGGTACTTCTCACTAATACTAGTTTCTCTACAATTGTCATAACAAGAGAAAGAGAGTAACAGAGGGGGAAGAATAACGAGGAACAGTGCTTTATGGGGTATGTTCAGTAAAAGCTATAGTGATGCTCCTCATCATGTCTCACATAAACCAACACTTGTTTTTCTGCAATTGGCATAACAAGAGAAGAGAGTAACAAAGGTGAAAAAATAAGAAAAGAACAGTGTTTGTGTGGGGTATGTTCAGTAAAATCTACAGTAATGCTAAACTAGCATTTCTCACATAAACGTAATTTTTTCTCAAGGTTCTTACAATTGTGGATACATTAAGAGGAGGATCAGCTACTTACCAAAGAATTCACAATTTGGGCCACAGTAGCCATTAAATGATCAATGAAACGATGGGCCTCTTCAATAGTCAATTGATCGGGTACATGACTATCAGGAGCATCAGTACTTTCAGCTGGTTCTGTGGTTTCAGGAGCATCCGTGGTCTCAGTAACATCCTCAGGAGCCTCAGTACCCTTTAACTCTAAACCATCATGATAGTATTTCACTCGCTCCGAGTTAACATTGGCCTAAGGAGTAAAAAAAAAAACAAAAAATCTTTAAGAAAAGAAAGGCTTCAAAGCTTCAAACTTACCGCAAATGCCATAAGGCATACAGCCAGAAAACCAACTAAAATTGAAAGTTTCATTCCCGTTGAAATTTCGTCTAACGAATTCGAATAGCAACGTATGACTAGTCCATATTCACCGGAATACAATTGACTTATATAGCTCCGAAGTTTAGATAAACGACATCGAAATATTTATTTCGAGTGCCCCTTAGTCGATATTCGCATTAACGATACTTGTCTGAAGTGCTGCTGCAAAGTTTTCTAAGACCTGTTATCTTAGGGAATGTCTGTTCTTTTTTTTTCAAATGTTATCAGAATGCTTGAGATAAGTTGAGCTCCCCTAATGTATTTTGATTTTTCTCAGGGATTAGCGGGGGTAGTATATACGTTGGTTTTTGAAGTATTTTTTCATTGGCATGATTTTTATACCCTACGCTAAACTGTGGTTTAGGTTATAATTGCTTGGTGCTTTTGTTTGAAAAATGAAGAAGGAACTAAAATATCTCCAAAATTTCTTTTGATGATCCTCATAGAATGACATTTTGAGTCGATTTATGCACATCCGTCCGTCTGTCTGTCCATGTATTTTTGTTAGGAAAGTTATTGTTGGATTGAGTCGCACAGATCTTCTGTTTGACTCAAGGATTAACGCAATTGAGATTGGTTATAATCGGTGCAAATTTAGATATATATCTTTCACCAATTTCCACTTTATTGTGCACCAAATGCTTAATATATGCCCAAGTTAGAAAAGTTTTAGAATATGCCATCAATTGTAGCTTGGAGGTCAGCATATTAAATTTGAAGGAAATCGGCTCAGATATAGCTATAGCTACCATTTATTTTATTTTATTTGATATTTATGTCCCCAAAAGGCATAATTTGCACTCTACAACATTTATCGATATAGCCTAGAAATACCTGTTTGTGTGAGAAACGTTACAGCAGCTTTTACTGAACATACCCCACATAAGCACTGTTGCTTTTTATTCTTCTTGGTTGTTACTCTCTTTCTCTTATTATGGCAATTGTATTGCAAAACTGTGTTCACTATTATAAATATAATATATATTATAAATAGAGCAAGAACAAACACAATTACCCAAGGGAGAGAAAGAGATTTGATAACGCTAATTGCTCAGAAAAAAATAACCAGTATTCTAATAAGAAGAAACATCAGAGCAAGGAAGAAGCGCTGTTTGCTTAGTAAAAGAACGTCCCAGCAGTCCGCTCGCCATTACAATTTAATACCCATCCGAATGTATGCTATTTTGTCAATTGGAAAAAATGAAATAAAAGTGGTTTATAGCATACAACTAGCATCTGATTTGGATGAGTCGCATTGCTATTACATTGTGGAACAAAATCCACATTAGAATTAAAGAACAAAACAAAAAATAAAATGTGTCCATCGCACTTGCATCTGAATCGGATGCCTTTGTATTGTTTTGTAAGTTTTTTTTGTGTGTTGTTGCAGCCGGTGTTGTACCGTTATTCATTTATGATGCTTTTTTCTTTTTAAAAGCAAAATTTTATTCTGTGAAGTGTTTTTGAAAGTGCAAGTTGTGAATATTGAACAAAAGTTATTAAAATAAATTAATAAAATAAGAATATAGTAAGTGTTGTTTGTTAAATAAGTTAAATAAAATGTCAGGACTCAGTAGGAGTAATTTAAGACGGTTAAAGAAAGTAGAATTAGACAATTTTAAAATAAATGCACAGTTGAGGACGGACTGTTTGGAAAACAATGATATTCTACAAAATGAGCAGATTCCATGCATTCCAAAATTGTGGAAGATTTTGGAAAATATGTAAGAATATTAAAAAATCCCCGTTAGAATCCATTAATAATTTAATTTCTTTCAGGTTAGTATCATAAAAGTTATAATTTCACCAGATGGCCTTATTAAAATAAGGCCAGATGGTACCCGAAATAAAAAGGCGTTTAAGGAATTTAAACTTTTAAATATGGCCATTTTCGGTAAGTTAACTTTTTTCTTACATATTTATGGAAAAGTGATATTATATTTCCTTAAAATGTAATCCATTAGTCTATTCTATAGTATAACTGTTTAATATTAAAAAATTGTTCTATATTTTCTATCCTTATTTCAGAAGCTGTCCGATGTGAAGGATTCTATGAACAAGATTACGCCAAAAAATTAGAAATTGTTTCAAATTCCATAAGGCCAGACACTTCCGAACAATGTCCTACAATAAAAAAACTGGAAAATGTAATTTTTTCTTTTTCTTTAGTTTAAACTTTATTTCTTCCCACGTCTTTTGAAAAACATTTATGAATTTATGAATTTCTTTTTTATGCATTATTTCTAATTACAATAAGAATATTTTATTGTTGAAACACTGTTCTATAATACGAATATTTTAATAAAAAAACAGCTGAAATTTAAGTTCCACAATTTAAAATGTGGATGGAATCGGACCCATCCAACCTTCGCTTACAATGTTTATAGATTTCGGACCCATCCAACATTCGCTTACATTGTCGGTCGATATCGGACCCATCCAACATTCGCTTACATTGTCTTTAGATTTCGGACTCGTCTGACGGCCTAGGCCATCGCTGTGTAAATATAAGTAGAAATTGTATACAGGCTTTGGATGGGTCGCACCTACATTGTCATTGGTCTCAGATGGAAGATGTATGTGCTAAAAAATCCGCTGGGGTACTTGTTAATTTGTCATTCTATTTTCGACGCCGAGGAGAAATGTTCATTGGAACATTAATAAATACATTTTTATAGTTAGGAGGAAAAAGTCCATCTTTTCGAATCTAATATACATGAGGAAGAGAATAAGTAAGAAAATAATATTATTCTTGTTATAACAACGCTGATCGTTGGATTATTACTCGCGGAGAATGGACGGCTAATTAATGGGCAATATATAAAGGTGGTGTAAAATATTGCCCATGGGTCATCGCTATTAATGATTGATGGTAAGCAGTGTTATTTATATGTTGATGAACATTGCTAGTGGAGCAAATATTACTAACAATTGGGAAAAGATCAATTGCCTGTTCATTAGACAAATGCAGTGTTCATTGGTGCATCACGGGTAAGAAGTTTGTGTTGTTTTGTCGCCAAATCGGAATAATATTAACAATTAAGAAATAATTCCACTACATTCAAATAGTTTCATTGTTCCAAGGGAATTAATTGATGGCAGTTGGGTTGAGCAGGAATTTTGTATCCCTGGTGATTAGTCGTAGTAAAGTTTGGGGAATGGTCCCAGCTGTACTCTTGTCAAATTTGTAGGATATCGGTTTAGATATGGATATAACTTCCATATTAATCTTCGTTCGATTTCAATTTTACTGTGCGCCATATGTGCCATGGTATAATTAAGAAAGTAAAGTCAATTCAAAGAAGCAATCCCATCTCTGCATTTTGAATTTTGTTTTTCAAATTTCACAGGTTCCCATCTCTGATATGTGTATTTACAATTGATTTGTAAATATATATTTTGGCAATAAGATGTTGTCAAATGAATAATTGCATGACCGACATAGTCGATTTTCGCACCTGAACTAGCATGGATGCAAATATTAGGATTTGCAAAGTTGGAGCAAACTCGGATTATCCTTTCTCTGTCTGTGCAGTAAAAAATATTTTTTTTTACCTTTTGTGGGAAGGCACTAAAAGGAGTGGTCCGAACTCGATCTAAGTTTGATAACAATATTACAGTTTACCAAGTTCGGGCGAAATCGTATACTCCCTTCGAGAGTTTTCGAGCACAACAGCCAAACAGACAGACGGACGGACGGACATCGCTAGATCGACTTCAAATGTTCTGAAACGGTTTTGGTCCAAAGAGACCTTGGGTCTAAAACCGTTATTTCGATGAGGCGTGATTTGGCCGTATCAAATGATATATATCCTCTCTATGGCTGAGGGTTTAATTAGAAGATATACGAGATCTTGAGATCATTTAAAAGTAGAATTGAAGGTATTTTATAAAAAGTTGATTCAAAACCTCTTTTATAGGAAGATGCCCTTAAGGCTTCTTTAAGATTGCTTGCAGGACTTCTCTTAATCTTCTACAAGATTATTTGCTAATTTTTTTCTGTGAATATTTCCAAAGCTCCCCCTACAATATTTAAATATTCGTCATTTCAGGTCTTAAAAAAATATTTATTATTTTACTTGCACCAAAATTTAATTTTTGGTGTAGAATAAGCCCTCGAATTTCAACCTCAAAAATAAAGTCAGAGTTTCAACGCAATTTATATAATTTCCTTTATTAATGTTTTTAATTTTTTTTTACTTTTTGTAAATAAAATTACGAAATTCCATTCAAATTTAGATAGCTCTTTAACTGAACTGAGGAAATCTGCTCGGAAATCTCTAAGCCTGGCGAAGGTGTTGTGAACACATTCACCTGCATGTGGGGACACCTTTAAATTTAGTTAGACGGTGATTTTAATTTGAATAGAACGAAAACAGACTAATCTTCCTCCGGTTCTTCCTGGTGTTCCTCTTCCTCGGATTCGTTGTGATTCTCGGAATGGTGATCACCTTCTTCTGATTCTTTGTGGTGTTCTGATTCGTGATTTTCTTCTTCAGATTCCTTGTTATTTTCTTCGTGGTGTTCGTTATCCTTGTGGCCTTCATGGTGTTCGTCTTCCTCGTGGCCTTCGTGATCCTCTGGTTGGTGGTCATCTTCATTGTGGCCTTCGTGGTGTTCTGACTGATGATCATCTTCCTCTGGTTCTTCATGATGTTCGGAATGGTGGTTGTCTTCCTTGTGTTCTTCATGATGTTCTGGGTGATGATTCCCTTCTTCGGGTTCTTCGTGGTGCTCTGGATGGCGATGATTTCCCTCTGGTTCTTCATGATGTTCTGGATGTTCTTCATGATTTTCTGGGTGGTGATTATCTTCTTCGGGTTCTTCGTGGTGCTCTGGATGGCGATGATTTCCCTCTGGCTCTGCATGATGTTCTGGATGTTCTTCATGATGTTCTGGGTGGTGATTATCTTCTTCGGGTTCTTCGTGGTGCTCTGGATGGCGATGATTTCCCTCGGGCTCTTCATGATGCTCTGGATGTTCTTCATGATGTTCTGGATGGTGATTTTCTTCTTCGGGTTCTTCGTGGTGCTCTGGATGGCGATGATTTCCCTCGGGCTCTTCATGATGTTCTGGATGGTTATTCTCGGGGCCTTCATGATGCTCTGGATGGTTATTCTCGGGACCTTCATGATGCTCTGGATGGTGATCGTCAGGGTTTTCGTGATTACCATTGGGATGTTCGGGTACATGGTTATCTTCCTCAGGTCCTTCATGACCGTTGGGATGTCCAGCCACATGATTGCCTTCTTCAGATTCATGGTGATTGGGTAAGCCATGCTGAGGGAAATGTGGATGTGGACGTCCTTCATAATAGAGAATCTCCACAGGTTTTCCTGAGTATATTCCTTCAGTCTTTTTGAAAAAGAAAAGGGTAATATTAATAAAAATGGTTTGTGTCAAAACTGAGAAGAGAGAGGAGAGAGAACGAAAGAGAGTTAGAGAGATTTATAAAAGACATTGTTTAGAAAACTGCCGAAGCTATAGTCATGGATTTTTAAAGAATATTTTCTGACGAACACTAGCAGGTATACTCATGGATTTTCTAAAGTATATTTTCCCAAGGACCCTCGGAGTCCCAACGGTGAATTTTTTAAGAAGATTTTTTCAAGAAAAGCTGGAGCCCTTATCATGGACTTTTTAAAAATATTTCGTTAAGGACATTGTGAGTCGTAATTTTGAAATATTTTCTCAGGGACACGCAGGATTTTTAAGACTGTTTTCTCAAGGATAGTCGGGTTGAGAGCTACAATCGTGGATTTAAAAAATATATTTTCTCAAGGACTATCGCTATAATCATAGATTCCCAAATAAAATTTTTCAAGGACAGTCGAAGCTATAATCGTGGATTATCAAAGAATATTTTCTCAAGGACACTCGGTGCTATAATCGTGGATTTTTAAAGAATATTTTCTCAAGGAGACTCGGTGCCATAATCGTGGATTTTTAAAGAATATTTTCTCAAGGACACTCGGTGCTATAATCGTGGATTTCTTAAGAATATTTTCTAAAGGACACCCGGTTCTATAATCGTGGATTTTTAAAAATATTTTCTCAAGGACACTCGGTGCTATAATCGTGGATTATCAAAGAATATTTTCTCAAGGACATTCGGTGCTATAATCTTGGATTTTTAAAGAATATTTTCTCAAGGACACTCGGTGCTATAATCTTGGATTTTTAAAGAATATTTTCTAAAGGACATTTGGTGCTATAATCGTGGACTTTTAAAGAATATTTTCTCAAGGAAAGCCGGAGCTACAATCGTGGATTCTCAAAGAATATTTTTTCAAGGACACTCGGTGCTATAATCGTGGATTTTTAAAAATATTTTCTCAAGGACACATGGAGCTATAATCGTGGATTTTTAAAAATATTTTCTCAAGGACACATGGAGCTATAATCGTGGATTTTTAAAAATATTTTCTCAAGGATTGTCAGAGCTATGATCGTTGATTTAAAAAAAAATATTTTCTCAAGCACACTCGCTGCTATAATCTTGGATTTTTAAAGAATATTTTCTCAAGGATACTCGGTGCTGTAATCATGGATTCTCAGAGAATATTTCGTCAAGGACATTTGGATCACTAAATGCGGATTTCTCAGTACTAAAATATACTAAAATTTGAATAATTTCTATTCTAGAATTCTAAAAATTTGGAATGGAGTAACTCGATGGAGTGAATAGATGAACCAAAGAGTTCTTGGAAATTCGAACTTTGAGGTTACAAAAAGTTCTAAAATGGTACTTAACTTCTAAAAGCTAAAACTAAAAATTTGATATAAGAATCAAGGTTGGAATGTAAGCTTGATATATGAAGATGGTTTTGGAAATGTGTACTAAGTGTACGAACTGTACAAAATAGTACTAAATTTGGAACAGTTTGCTTTAGGGTGAACGGATAAAACTGAAATTTTGGAATTTTGTATTGCGGTCCCTATTGGTAGTGGTTTTGGATATGTGTACTAAAAGTGTACGAAAAGTACTGAATGGTACTATATTTGGTACAATTTGGTATTGGGTAAACAGATTGTGCTTGAGATCTGAAATTCGGTACTGGAGTCGCTGTTCATTTGTAGCCTGGACATTTGATGGTGGTTTCGGAAATGTGTGTCATAATTGTACGAAAAGTACTGAATGGTACTATATTTGGTATCGGGTGAAGGAAAAGATCTAAAATTTTGAAATTTGATATTTACATTACTGATGGTATCTGTGTTTGAGATTTGGCGGTGGTTTGGAAATGCGTACTTTAATTGTGCAAAAAGTACTAAATGGTACTAAATTTGGTATTGGCATAGGGCTGGAATCCTCAAATTTGATATTGAGGCCCTATTGGTACCTGGATTTGAGATATGGTGGTGATTTTGGAAATGTGTACTAAAATTATTCGACTACTACTAAATGTTACTAAATACGGTATTGAGTGAACGCATAGACCTGAAATTCTGAAATATAATATTGAGGCTTCTGTTGGTGCCTGGTGTTGAGATCTGTTGGTGGTTTCGCAAATGTGTACTCCAATTTTTCGAGAAGTACTAAATGGTACTAATTTTGGTGTTATGTGAAGAGATTGAGCTGAAATTCGGAAATTTGATACGGAGGTCACTGTTGGTTTCTAGGGTTTACATATGGAGATGTAGAATAGTTGTGGCTGCATTGTGCAATGGTTTTACTAATATCCTCCTCGGCTAACTTCGAAAATCAATGTCTTAGAAATATTTTTAAAGGATATTCGTTTAGTCGAAGCTTAGGTTTTAAGAATATTTTTTAAGGACACTTGGAGGTTAGTCATGCTAGGATTATTTTCGCAAGTACACCAAGAGATTATCGAGGACTATTAAGCAATTGGCTTTTTCATGGACATTGAGTTTTTAAAATATCCTCTTAAAGGATTTTAAGGACATTCTTGGACGTTTTGAATTTTTTTTTGTTCAAGGATTACTAGATTTTTTTCTCTGGATTTTCCGTCAATTTTTTCCCAACAATTTAAGAAGCTTTGACGGGCTCGTGTATTTTTAGGGATTATTTTCCCAAGAACGCCAAGAGATTTAATTGAGGACTATTAAAAAATTGGTTTTTCATGAACCTTAAGAAGCATCGACGTGCAGGCACTTACCACAGATTGCACAATTTGGCCCACAGTATCCATTAAATGTTCAATGAAACGATGCGCCTCATCAATGGGCAATTGGTCGGGGACATGATTGTCAGGAGCATCAGTACTTTCATCTGGTTCTGTGGTTTCAGTAGCATCGGTGGCGTCAGTAACATCCGTAGGCTCCGGAGCCTCAGTACCTTTCAACTCAAAACCATTGTGATAGTATCTAACTCGTGCCGAGTTAACATCGACCTAAGGAGTGAGGAAATATTTAAAATATTTTTAAAAAAATGCTACAAAGTTCCCAACTTACCGCAAATGCCACAAGGCCCACAGTCAGAAAACTGAATAAAATTGAGAGTTTCATTGTTGTTGGAGTTTCGTCAAACGATTTCAAATAGCAACGTATAACAACTAGTCCATACTCCAAGAAATCTAACTGGTTTTATAGTTTCAAGGTGAATTCTGATGTAATAAATGATATCGGAAAAATTTTACTTCGATTGCATTTTGTTACACATATTCTAATTAAAAAAAAAACAACACTTATCTCAAGTGTTTGAAGTTTTCTCAATACGCAATTTCATAATCGAATTTGTGTCATCGTGCAAGTGATGATTTGGAAAATGTTTATATTTTGTTTTAGAGTTTATCAAAAGGTGAAAAAATAACAAAATACTCGAGATGAGTTCAGTGTGAGTCATACAAATATTTTTGATTCATTTCTTGGGATTTTTTTTAAATAATATTTTGAGGGTTTAAGAATATTTTTTTTTCAGAGTTATCAGTAAATCAATATCGGACTATTCTGAGGTAGTATGGGGACTACAATTGTGGAATATTTTTTTCAGAGAATATAACAATTGTCGTGGGTTTTTAAAAATAATAGTTCAGGGCTTTTCCTAGATATAATTTCGGAAATATAATAGCCGATTTCTTAAAATATTATTTCAGGGTTTAATATTGTTTTTTTTTTTTTTTTTTCACGGCTATAATTGAGGATTATTAAAAAGATTATTTCGAAGGCTATAATAGTAACTATCATGAATAGAAAAATCATGATAAACCAGTAAGGAAAGCTCAAAAGTCGGGCGGGGCCGACTATATGATACCCTACACCACTATGCATATTTAGTAGAGCTCTCGTAAAAAGGTTTATACAGGGCATTTCAGAGCTCTATGAGATATTTGGTACAAAATCAAAATCTATCTAATTCTATCGTGCATTTTACGAACAATAGCTATCTCTGAACTGGGTTTCTCCAAATTTGACGTATTAGCTTCTAGACTGAATTCGGTCTTATGTACGAAAATTCATGCCATTTGGGCTGATATTGGCCATTTGATGCACAATTAACACGTAATCGGATGAAGATATATATGGGAGCTATAGCTATATCTGAACCGATTTTTACTAAAATTGGTGTACTTGCTTCTAAGCTGGTTTCGGTCGGATTTGCCAAAATTGATGCTATTACGGCCATTTGGTGGTAAATCACCCGAAATCGGATGAAGATATATATGGGAGCTATATCCAAATCTGAACCGATTTCGGTAACATTTAAAACAGCTATTCCTGTGCTCCATCTAATACCTGGTAACAAATATCACGGTTGTGGAGTGAATATTACGAATGTAAGGGATTAAACAACTAAATCGGATGAAACATATATATGGTTGCTATATATATATCTACATCTGAACCGATTTTCACTAAATTTGACATACTTGCTTCTAGGCTGAATTTGGTCCGATGTACTAAAATTCAGTCCATTTGGACTTATATCGGCCATTTGGTGCACAATTAACCCAAAATCGGATGAAGATATATATGGGAGCTATATCCAAATCTGAACCGATTTCGATAAAATTACAAACAGCTATTTCTGGGCTGTATCTTTTATCTGGTACCAAATATCATTCTTGTGGAGTGCATATTACGAATGTGAGAGGCTTAAACACCAAATCGGATAAAACATATATATGGGAGCTATAGCTGTTTCTGAACCGATTTTCTCCAAATTTGTTGTATTTGTTTTAAGGCTAATATCGGTCACATGTGCCAAAATTCGGGCCATTTGGGCTGAAATTGGCCATTTGGTGGGCAATTAACCCGAAATCGGATGAAGATATATATGGAAGCTATATCCAAATCTGAACCGATTTCGATAAAATTTAAAGCAGCTATTTCTGTGCTCCATCTAATACCTGGTACCAAATATCACGGTTGTGGAGTGCATAGTAGGAATGTGAGGGACTTAAAGATCAAATCGGATGAAAGATATATATGGGAGCTATAGCTATATCTGAACCGATTTTCTCCAAATTTGATATACTTGCTTCTAGGCCGAACTCGGTTGGGTGTGCCAAAATTCAGGTAATTTGGACTGATAGTGGACATTTGGTGCACATTTAACCCGAAATCGGATGAAGATATATATGGGAGCTATATCTAAATTTGATCCGATTATCTCCAATTTCAATAGGGTTCGTCCTTGGGCCAAACAAATGTTGGTTGCAAAATTTCATCTCAATCGGATAATAAATGCGACCTGCATTTTGTTCACAAGAATACATGGACAGACGGACGGACGGACGGACGGACGGACAGACGGACTGACATGCATAAATCGACTCAAAAAGTGATTCTATGAAGGTTCTCAAAAGTAACTATGTGTCTATCTCGTTTCCTTCTCCATGTTACAAACAAATGCACAAAGACATAATACCCTTTCCACTATGTGGTGTAGGGTATAAAAATGGCAACCAGAATTTCCCGGCCAAAATTTTCAGAAAAACCTTTCCTTTTGATTTTACCTGCGAAAAAGATTGGATGTGTGGCTCCCTGTAACCAGCAAAGAAAAAACCAGCAAAAGTTTTTTGTGATGAACAACTTGTTAAAAAGATTAAACAATTTTTTTATTGTTTGAAACAATAAACAAACAACACCAAAATACAAACTTTTTTTAAACAAAATCCAAAGCCTTAAAACAATTAAACAAAGATTAAGGACAAAAGGCAAAAGTTGAAAACTTATAACAAAAACAAAAAGTTTTCATAAAAATTTGAAAATTAAAAGAGATAAATTGAACTTATTTAAAAATTAAACAAAATTTGGAGACAATTTAAACAAACTTTGAAAACAAAACAAATTGAAAGAAAAAGAAATATAATTATAATAAATTGAACGTGGAATATAATTAAGAAAACTAAACTTTAACAATACCGCACATACTTGTTTGGAAGAACCACAGACATTAGCTGCCTTCAGGGTGCCCTACCTGTGGTGTCCGTCAGTGCAACCTAAAAGTGGAAAAAGGAGAAAGGAAAAATATTAGATTTGGCATTAGTTTTGGCGCTATAAATTTGATTCGATTTCAAATTTTTTCCTTGTCATTAAGTTTTTTACTTTCAATTTGAATTTGATTTATATAAAAAACATATAAGATGTTTTAATGAATTGTTTCTCTATTTGAATCGTAAAAATAGGCTGAATAAAATGTACAAAATTTTTATGAAAAAGATGAACATGTCTTCAGCTTAAAGCCCCATTAGAAAGATGGTGGAAATGGGATAAAATATGGTAAGTTAAGGTTCAAATCTGGGACTTCAGGAATAAATAGACATGATGGCGAGAGGTGTTCTCGGGGGGAGGGCTATCTCCTGGTTGTTCAGCCGCCAGGAGCACTGTTTCTGTGGTGATAGTTAAAGTTAAATTAAGATTTGGTTGTAGTTTAGGTGTACGTTTTCTTTTGTACTTTTTATTGACATGTTTCAGGTTTTTATACCCTACACCACATAGTGGTAAGGGTATTATGTCTTTGTGCATTTGTTTGTAACATGGAGAAGGAAACGAGATAGACCCATAGTTACTTTTGAGAACCTTCATAGAATCACTTTCTGAGTCGATTTATGCATGTCCGTCCGTCTGTCCGTCCGTCCGTCCGTCCGTCCGTCCGTCCGTCCGTCCGTCCGTCCGTCCGTCCGTCCGTCCGTCTGTCCATGTATTCTTGTGAACAAAATGCAGGTCGCATTTATTATCCGATTGAGATGAAATTTTCCAAACAATATTTTTTTGGCCCAAGGACGAACCCTATTGAAATTGGTGAGAATCGGATCAAATTTAGATATAGCTCCCATATATATCTTCATCCGATTTCGGGTTAAATGAGCACCAAATGTCCACTATCAGTCCAAATTACCTGAATTTTGGCACACCCAACCGGGTTCGGCCTAGAAGCAAGTATATCAAATTTGGAGAAAATCGGTTCAGATATAGCTATAGCTCCCATATATATCTTTCATCCGATTTGATCTTTAAGTCCCTCACATTCCTACTATGCACTCCACAACCGTGATATTTGGTACCAGGTATTAGATGGAGCACAGAAATAGCTGTTTTAAATTTTATCGAAATCGGTTCAGATTTGGATATAGCTCCCATATATATCTTCATCCGATTTCGGGTTAATTGACCACCAAATGGCCAATATCAGCCCAAATGGCCCGAATTTTGGCACATGTGACCGAGATTAGCCTTAAAGTAAATACAACAAATTTGGAGAAAATCGGTTCTGATTTGGATATAGCTCCCATATATATCTTCATCCGATTTCGGGTTAATTGTGCTCCAAATGGCCGATATAAGCCCAAATGGACTGAATTTTAGTACATCGGACCAAATTCAGCCTAGAAGCAAGTATATCAAATTTAGTGAAAATCGGTTCAGATATAGATATAGCAAGCATATATATGTTTCATCCGATTTAGTGTTTTAGTCCCTTACATTCGTAATGTTCACTCCACAACCGTGATATTTGGTACCAGATATAAGGTACAGCCCAGAAATAGCTGTTTGTAATTTTATCGAAATCGGTTCAGATTTGGATATAGCTCCCATATATATCTTCATCCGATTTCGGGTTAATTGTGCACCAAATGGCCGATATAAGTCCAAATGGACTGAATTTTAGTACATCGGACTAAATTCAGCCTAGAAGCAAGTATATCAAATTTAGTGAAAATCGGTTCAGATACAGATATAGCAACCATATATATGTTTCATCCGATTTAGTGTTTTAGTCCCTTACATGTGATATTTGGTACCAGGTATTAGATGGAGCACAGGAATAACTGTTTTAAATTTTATCGAAATCGGTTCAGATTTGGATATAGCTCCCATATATATCTTCATCCGATTTCGGGTTATTGACCACCAAATGGCCGTAATAGCATCAATTTTGGCAAATCCGACCGAAACCAGCTTAAAAGCAAGTACACCAATTTTAGTAAAAATCGGTTCAGATATAGCTATAGCTCCCATATATATGTTTCATCCGATTTCGTCTTTAAATCCCTCACATTCGTAATATGCACTCCACAGAAATGATATTTGGTACCAGTTATCAGATAAAGCCCAAAAATAGTTGATTTTAATTTTATTAAAATCTGTT